CAGGCAAAGATTAGAGTAATAATTTTAGGCTTTCTGGCTTGCTTTTGGAAAAGGTATTTCTAGTTTCTGTGATCTGCATTGGGGAACAGAAATTCTATTTTCTATGGTTTGCCTGGGGGAACAGAAAGGGCAAACTGGAGACAGAAAAAATTAAAGACTTGCTTTGCAGGGCTTGGCTTGCTTCTGAGGCCTGAAATGTCATATTATGGCATATAATTTTCTGAGCACTCTACAGATTTAACGCAATCCCTAATAAAATTCCAATGTGTTTTTTTTTCTTGTAAATTGGAAAACCCTTCCTCAAATTAATACAGGATCTCAACAGTCTACCAATAGCCAAATAATCTTGAAAAAGAAAGCTGCAAATCCACAACCTCTGATTTCCAAACTTATTACAAAGCTACAGTAATAAAAACAGGGTGGTACTGATATGATACAAATGGATAAACCAATGGAATAGAATTGAAAGTCCATAAATAAACACTGGCATACACAGTCAAATGTTCTAGACAAGGAAGCCAAGAACATTCAGTGGGGGAAAAGACAGTCTACTAAGAGTGATATCGGAAAAAATGATATTCATGTGCAAAAGAGCGAAGTTAGGTATTTATCATATACCATATACAAAAATTAGCTCAAAGTAGATCAAAGTCACAAAATAAGAGCTGAAACTATAAAATTCTCAAAAGGAAACACAGGAGAAAAGTTTTATGACACTGAGTTTGGCAATTTCTTGAATAAGACATCAAAGACACAGATAACAAAAGAAAAAATAGATAAACTGGGTTACACTAAAATTGAAATCTTTTGTACATTAAAACAGAGTGAAAAGGCCACATAGGAAATGGGAGAAAATATTTGTAAATCATACTTCTCATAAAGGGTTAATATCCAGAATACATATAGAACTCCTATATGTCAACAACCAATCAACCTGACTTAAAAATAAGACAAGGCTCTGAGCATGGTGGCAAACACCTGTAGGCCCTCATGAGGCTAAGGGAGGAAGATGACAAGTTTTAGGCCAGCCTGGGCAAAGCCAGACCCTGTCTCAAAATAAAAAATAAAAAGGGATAGAGATGTAGCTCAGTGGTATAATAACCTGGGTTAAATCCCCAGTACTGGGAAATGAATAAATAAGCAAGTAAGCAAAGAACTTGAATAGAAATTCTCTAAAGAAAATGTACAAAGCCAATAACATTGAAAAGATGCTCAACTTTCCTAACCATTAGAAAAACACAAATCAAAATCACAGTAAAAAAAATCACTTCTCTGTTGAGATGGCTATTATGTGAGAAAAGGAAAAAAAATCTCAGAAAATAACAAGTTTGTGAAAATGTACAGAAATTTTAAAAAAACACTGTACATGCTAGTGGAAATGTAAAATGATACAGTCATGATGCAAAACAGCATGGTAATTCCTCAAAAAATTAAAAACAATGCCTATCTGATCTAATAATTCATATATGGTTGGTTATATACTCAAAAAGAATTTAAAGCAGTGACTCGAACAGGTATTTGTAAACCTAAAGCCAATAAATGGATTAACTTGCTCTTAGCACTAATGAGTCTATTTTTCACTATTTCTGTTTTTCTTCACTCCTCTATGCCTTATTTACCAGATAATTAACCAATAAAGTTGACTTTGCAGCCAAGTGTGGTAGAACACTCCTATAATCCCAGCAGCTTTCGAGGCTGAGGCAAGAGGATTGAGAGTTCAAGCCAGCCTCAGCAAAAGTGAGGCACTAAGTAACTCAGCAAGACCCTATCTCTAAATAAAATATAAAAAAGGGCTGGGGATATGGTTCAGTGTTAAGCACCCCTGGGTTCAATCCCTGGTACAACCCTCCCCCCCAAGAAAAAAAAGGTTTAAGATGAGACACTGCCAGAACCTGGTATAATCACAGGACCTTAAGGCTGAGGCAGAGGGGATGTAAAGATAATGCCTAAGATTCTGGCTTGTGTGATTAAATGGGCAGAGAAACTCCTTTGGAATAGGCGATATCAGTTTTGAACACCTTCAGTTTGACAAATTTGTGGTGTTTAGAGAAGCAACAGGTAGCAGGAAGCCTAGAGTTGTAAAGAAAGATCTATCCAAAAGACAGATTTCAAAATCACCATAACAAGGAGTAGCGGAAGCCAAAGAAAATATCACTGAAAAAGAGAAATTGTTAGAAGAGATGGGAAGAACAAAACACAGTCTAAAGAACACCAACAGGAAAGAAACTTAGGCAGAGAAGGCTAAGAAAGAATGTCTAGAATTTATTTGGAGACTGGTGTTACAAAAAGGAAAGGAGGAAACATTTCAAGAAGAAATAAGCAGTCAACAGCTTCAAATAATATAGAGAAGTCACTAACATAAAAAGTGAAAATTCTCATTTTATTAATGAGGAAGACCCTGTGGTGACCTTATAAAGAACACTTCACACACCCAATCCCTCACCTGTGCAATGTTGGACAGTCAAGGGAAAAAAAAAGAACAGTTCAAGAGTATTGGTGGGGATAGATGTCAGATTATAGTAAAGTGAGAAACCAGTGGGGATAGTAAACAGGGTTTACTCTTTCATGAAATTGGCAGTGGTCACATAAAATTTTATTTATAACATGATCACACTTGTATCAAAAACAGAATAATTATGGGTGGGAGGTATATTTAGCTCTGTAGTACAGTGCTGCCTAGCAATTGTGTAGCTCCAAATTTGGTTCTCAGCACCAGAAAAAAGCAAAAAATGGAAGAGTCACGAAGAAATTATACATGTTCAAAATCACCATCTATAAAACTCAGGGAGACTTTTTTTTTTTTTTTTTTAAGTGGAGCAGACACTTAGTGGAGCAAGGCTCTAAGAATAAAAGCAAGAGAATCCAGGATAAGAATTTTAAGAGACAATTCTTCCTTTGAGATGGTTAAGAATAGGTAATAATGGAAATGAAAAAAAGAAAGTAAGGGAGGGAGGGAGGAAAAGAAAAGAAAAAAGAAAAGGAAGGGAGGAAGGAGGGAAGGAAAGAAGGAAAGAAAATGGTTGAAGCATTTATGATATGAATGCTTCTATTTTCTTTAGAAAGTCTGAGAATATGAAAGTGTAGCAGAAGTTTCAGGAGTGTTTAAGGTTTAGAATAGACAATGTGGTGCTGGAAAGAAAGCTGGCAGGGAAGAAGTAAGAAAAATGCTAAGCAGTACTGAGAATCCAGCTATGGAAAACGCTACGAATGAACACAATATTAAATCTACACTCTTAAAATGTATTCTCCAATAACGTTGGATTATTTGGGAATGCAAAAAGGGAAGGACTGTTGCAGAGTTGGCAATTTTCAGGGCTTATATGGCAGGACAAGAGGAAGAGGTTCAGACCATCAAAGCAGGACAATATATTGAATGGTCACAAGTTGGAACCCCTCTCACATGTTTTGTGAATACTCTATGCATGTATCCTCTATCACTATTATGTTGCCTCATACTTTGCTTATGTGTCAGTCTCTCTTCTTCAGATTGTCTTAGATCTGAGTGCTGGCTATGTCTTCTTCCCAGCTGCATCTTTGCTAGTTAGTACTTAACTAATGGCTAACACCTAATTGTGATTAACAAATATTTGACTGACTGGCTAATTCATTTGAAACATTTATTACTAGGTACCAAGCACTATGCCAAATGCTATTTATACAACAGTTAAAAAAAAAAAAAAAGATGCGCACGTATTCCATGAAGTCTATGGACCAGTGGAAAATATCTACACAATAAGAACATATGTAAATAAATAAACAAATAATTACAAGTTATTCTGCATTGAGAAGAAAACAAAGAATGGAAAGACAGAAGAAGAGGGAATCTATTTTTGAGAAGGTGTTCAGGCCAGCCTCTTCTAAGGAGGTACCTTTAAACTGAAACTGAAGGACAGGAAGAGATCAGATTTGTGAAGGAAAAAGGGAAGGCTATCCAGACAAAGAAAAAAAATATATGCAAAGGATATAAAGATAATAGGTAGACACGATGCTGGCACAGTTCAGGTTATATAAATGACAATGTTGAATAAACATGACAGTATACCTTTAGGCCAACTTTATAAACCCAAACTAAAAGTCACAAAAGAGCAGCAGTTCAGTCCTGAAACCTCAGCCCAAATTTTACTTTCTGCCTTTTCTTTTCATTCTGGTTTTTTTTTTTTTTGGGGGGGGGCGTAACTAGATATTGAACCTAGGGGCACTCCACCAGAGTTACATTCCCAGTCCTTTTTATTTTTATTTTGAGGCAGGGTCTTGCCAAATTTCCCAGGCTGACCTAAAACTTGTTGTGATTCTTTTGCCTCAGGCTTCAGTGAGGATTACAGGCATGTGCTTCATTTTTGCTATCTTAAAAGGCCAAGAGGAAATTTCTCTGTACCTCTTTCATGTGGCCTAACAGTGCTAGTTACCTGAAGCCTTTGTTTTAAAAATAATATGAAAGCACAAAACAGAAATTATGAAGAGTGGTAAAATTTTAATTGGAATGAACTAGACTTCAGTTAAGTCATGAAGAAATCTTAGCAGAACGCTAGAAGAGCAAAAGATTTGAATAACTAGAATTCTTAATTTGAGACTCTGAAACCTTAGACAACATAACCCTAACAAGTTCCAGCCCAAACTTTACAAGTTTATTTCTTGATGATATTTGCTCTTCCAACTTACTGACAGAGATCTAGACCTGGTCATTGTGTGGAAATGCTGGACAGCAACCCTCTCAAAAAACTACTCATTTCTTCCCTTTTCAAACAAAGAAGACAATGGCCACCTGAAATGGACTTTTATAAATATCAATATAAAATATAGTTTTTCCAAACAGGCACAAAATGCTCCTAACTATCTCCTAGGTTTCAGTAAAAGCTCTAAAATAATCTTAAGGTTGGGTTTGTACACTATGAAATAAAACAGAAATCTGCCTTTTTATCAACCTTTACCATCCCAGCCTAGGAGGTATGGATAATGGTGCCTGAATTCCACAGTTCATACTCTATGATAGTCTCCTCTACCTGTCGTCTCCTGCAAGTGTCTCTCTGATGCTTGGGTGCAAGATGCTGATGGTGATTCAGAAGCAAGTCTTCTTGGCATCTTTCAGCTGTTCCAACAGATGGCTGCTGCCTAAAGTTTAAGCTCTAAAAGATAATAATACATATCAAATTATGTGAGCAGTGATATAATAATAGTGATAGTACTGTAGGCTTTAGGAATAGCCCTATCTAAGTAGTTCAAAATGTTCTCATATATTATGGCATAAAAGTAGATATTATATTTCTTTGAGCTCTTAAGGGTCTTAACTATCCACAAAGCAATCTTATATCGCATCTATAGAACAAGGATAATCTTAGTATCTATCTCCCAGAGACATTGTGAATAATGCATACAAATTTCTAAAACCATTTTGGCTATGATAAATGCTCTGTGAATACAAGCTGTTACTTATAATAATGTTTCTAATATTAATAAAAAATAACACTATCATCATCTTCATTAGTGATATACCTCTGACAAGTCCAAACAAAACTCTAATTTGCTTTCTGCTGCTTACTCTTTACAGTACTGTGTTCTACCTGATCTCTGGCAGAGCCAGGATCCTGGATTTTATGTAAACCATATCTGTGGTACTCTGGAAGCAACTCTCTTCTCCATTTCTCATCTGTCATATCATGTGATGCTTGCCCATAGTTACTGTGCTAAAAGACAACATAAACATTGACATAAGTTACCCAAGGATGAGCACCATGCCTGTGACAAAAGTAAAAGCTTCAGTAAAAAAGCCTAAAGTAAACCAATGAGAATGGCGTGTGTGATACATCTAAGAACAAGAGTACATTATATTCTTTGCCCATTATTACCAACCTTAACACTAAATCCTTGAAGCAATTATACATTTCCCTGTTAATCTTGAGTCCAAATCTAAACAAATTTACTCTCGCTACCTCCTCTCACTGTATTTCGCACTACTTGTTCTCCAAGAAAGGGTTGGTCTCTATCACTAGGTAAAATATACTGGTGAGACTCCAATAGCAATTCCTCTCCCAATCTCCATTTTCTCCAAAGATGCAGGTTATTTGATATACTTTTTCTAAATGAACAATCAAAGAAAAAAGTGATTATCCAAACAGAATCAAGGGTTAGTTACATTACAGACTTCAGTAACAATCCCAGAGTATGATACTAAGTAAGAATAACAGAACAGTTAGGGGGTCTATGTGTGCATGTAATTAGCATAAAATTTTCAAAACACCAAAGTAGGGAAAAAATGAAATAATAAATCCTAAGGTACCCATCACTCAACTTTAATAATCAGTAACATTTTGCTTTTTCATCTATCTCTTCTCCAGCTTTTTTTAGGAGTATTTTAAAGCAAATTAAGAATTATTCTGGGACTGGGGTTGTGGCTCAGTGGTACTGTGCTTGCCTCGCACGTGTGAGGCACTGGGTTCGATCCTCAGCACTACATATAAATAAATAGTCCATCTACAACTAAAAATTTAAAAAAAAAAGAATTATTCTAGTACATTTTGAAATAACTAGAGACATTTTACTCTTAGCCTAACACTGGAGACCTTAAGTCTATGTATCCCCCACACAAGTTAGCTTGCTAAACCTCAGTCCAATCTTAAGTAACTGGTCTTCTCTTTTAGAAAGTGATAGCCCTTTTTCAGTATGCGGCTCCACCTGTTCTCCAAGGGAGGTTTGGTCCTGGATCTTAGATGGAACATACTAATGATACTCAGAGGCAACTCCTCCCTTACTCTCTCTCTTCTGTCCTAAAAGGTGAGGGTTACTTGAGAAACATGTTCTGAAGAAACAACAAAAACAGAAAAAAATTATCTAAAACAGAATGATATGTTAGTGATAATCCTTCAGGCTTCATGAGAATTCTAAGAAAACAACATCAAGTAAGAATATCCTAATTATGTTTTGGTAAGAATGAGGATGCTACACTGCTAATGCAACTCTAAAAACTTTAATTCTTAATCCCAAACAACAGAAAAAAAAGAGTCTTGAGAAATTCATCAAATCTTTTATAGTAATTTAGGATCTGCTACTTCTTCCTACATTGTTTATGTAGGGACAGTATGCTTGTGATAATACTGTGGGATTCAGCAAGAGTTAGAGAATAATCCTGATAAATTAAGAGTCTAACTGATGTATTAATCTTTTGAATTACAGAACTGATTTGATCAGTATAGACAAAGGTATTTTCTATCATTAGCTTCAAGGCAGAACAGAAAAAAAGAAACCAGCAGAAACCAAACTGTCTGGGCTTTAATACTCTATGCCTATCCTTCTTGAAGCAGAAGTATTGTTCTGATAGGACTTAGAACTATAATCCCACTAATGTAAGAAGGAAGCAAAGATATTATATCCTTACAGCTCCAAAGTCTCTGATTTAAGTTACTAGTTGTTCAGCATTTGTAAAACCCAGTTACTTGTATGAATTGCCAAGATCATTGTAATGTCATATGTAGCTAATAAAAAATTTTTTTTTTAAATGAACAGCAGGAAAAAAAAAAAACCCAGCTACTTTATCTCCCAATTCTTTCTCTCTTTCATTTTGTTCTACCTGCTCTCTGATGAAGCCCTGGAATTGGGTTTGGGGAGGCAGACACTGATAACCCACCAGAGAAAAGTCTTCTCTCCCTTCCTCATCAGAAAATGGCTCCAGAAAATGAACTTTCTAAAAGAGAAAAAACACAAACTATAAACTGTCCAGTAAGAGTAATATGAAATAAAACCCAAAACTAGGTTTTTTGTCAGTTCTACAGTTTAGCTGAGGATAAAATCTGAAGCTCCAAATTAATCCCTAAACATTCAGTTCCTGCTGGTCTCTGTCCTTTTCTCCATTCTACCTTGGCCCTAATGGAGGACTGATGATGACTGCATAGAAGATCCTGATATACAATATCCACAGGAAACTCTTCTCTTCCTTGCCTACCTATTAAAAGTGATGCTGGCTGCTTCAAATTTGATTTCTAAAAACAAACAAACAAAAAAAAAAACCAAAAACAGAAAATATCAGTTAAAAATGACAGGTTAACTTAGATTTTATGCTTCAATGAGAACTCTGGATTTCATGGAGGTCAGAATATGACTAGGCATCTTAAGAGAATAAAATAAAAAACTACTCTATTCCATAAAAGCCCAACCACAACCCTAAGAAATTTACTTCCTGTTGATCCTCTTCCTCCTTTTTCTCTGACTGATCCCCAGTAGAGGGCTGGCCTTGGAACCTATGTGAAAGATATGTTTCTGTTCTTGTAGGCCACTCCTTTTTCCATCTTTCAACTGTCAAAGCCAATGATGGCTGCCAGATATATTTTTCCTAGTGAAGATTAAAAATAAAAAAGTAAATTTTCCAGATAGGGAAAATATGCTGATAATATTTTAAGCTTAGTATGAACACTGGAGCTTTGAAAAAAAACAAGAAAGAAAGTATACTCTCCAACTATGGACCTCCAAATCGGTTGCAATATAGTCCTTATAAATCCCAATCCAAACTCTAAATAGCTTATTTATTCTTATTATCTCTCTTTTTCATTCCATTTTACCTGATCTTTGAGTGGAATATCCTGCTTCTGACATTTGTATAGAAGATTCTCATCTGAGAGGAGAATGTACTGATCTTTAGGGAGAAAATCCTGGTCCTGGCATTTGAGAAGAATATTCTGGTCTTTGGGAAGAACACACTGGTCTCTACATAGAAAATCCTGGTCATCATGTAGAAAATCTTGGTCCTGATATTTGTGTAGAATATTCTGGTCTTCAGGGAACACATGCTGGTTTCTAGATAGAAAATCCTGGTCTTTATCAGGTAGAAAGTCTTGGTCCTGACATTTGGGTAGAATATCCTGGTCTCTGGGTAGAAAATCCTGGTTTTTATGCAGAAAATTCTGGTCCTGATATTTGGGTAGAATATTCTGGTCTTTAGGGAGAACATAGGGGTTTTGGGGTAGAGAATCTTGGTCCTCACATTTGGGCAGAAAGGCCTGGTTTTTGGGTAGAAAATCCTGTGCTTTTAACTCAATATTCCTATTTTCTATCTCAGTGCTACTGGCTTTTATCATAATACTCCAAGTTTCTGTCTTAAAAGCCTGGACTTCTGATTCAATGGCTTGGCATTCTGGCTCAATAGCTTGAACTTCCAGATCAACAGCCTGGACATCTGGCTCAATACTCTTTTCAGGCTCAATACTCTGAACTTCTATCAAATCACCTTTGGTTTCCAGAGGATAATCCTGGGCTTCAAGACCCTGAAAATGTGACTGCTTTTGTTCTTTCTCTTCTATGACAACAAATAATGGATTTTTGAATTTTACTTTCTAAAAGTGAACATAAACAACAAATATAGAATGTTATAAAACAGTAACACTTAGTTTTCCATGAGATTCCTAAAATGATCTTAAAATGGCAAGAGTATTCAACAAATTACTAAAATAAAATGTGAAGTCACAGTCTGCCCAACTTGAAAGAATCTAACTCTACAATTCCAAACCAGTATAACAATACTGGCAATCCCTATTCCAAATCACAATTATTTCACTTACTCTTATTGCTTTACCTGAACTCTGCTAAAAGGCTTATCATTGTCTTCAGAAAAGAGACTCTGCTTGTCTCCCCAAAATAAATCGTCTCTCCCTTTCTCATTTGTTATAATAGATAATACTTCCTCACTGTCAGATTCCTAAAAGGAAACAAAAAAAATAAAAAATAATACCAAATGTAGCTATTACAGATAGAAAAAATGTGACTGCAATGAAATCCTAGGCTTGAAGACAGCATATTCAAACAGTATTAAATGATTGCGATAAATGTACACAGAAACTATAAAACATTGTTGGAAAAAAAAAAGATCCAAATATGTGAAAAGACATCTCACATTCATGGATCAGAAGAAAATATTGTTATGATGACAGGGTGTAGTAATGCACACTTTTAGTCCCTGTACTGGGAAGGCTGAGGAGTCACCCAAGGAGTTTGAAACCAGCAAGGTAACAGAGTAAGACCCCATCTCAAATTTAAAAAAAAAAAAAAAAAAAAAAAAGGACATATTTCCCAAATTGTTCTAGAGAGCCAAAAATTTTTACCAAAATATTTTTTTCCTTTTATAGAAATTAACAAGAAAAAATTCATGTGGAAATGCAAGAGATTCATAATAACAAAATATTCTTGAAAAATATATTAAGAAGTTGGGGATTTCATTCTTCCCAATAAATTGCACTACACCAAAATTAAAAAGTTTATGCTGCAAATGACACCATTAATAAAATGAAATGTCAACCTACAGAATAGGAGAAATATACATAAGACCACTCTCTAAAAAGGGATTTATATCCAGAATATATAATGAACACATAAAGCTTGACAATAAAAAGACAACCCAATTTAAATATAGGTAATGCCTTTGAATAGACGTTTTTCTCAACAGAAGGTCAAATGGGCACTAAGGGTTTGTACCTCATCTCCCTATCTGATTTTCCATAAAGTTCTAGTAATATACAGTAGTTAAAAAAAAACTTTGATGGATCTTAAGAGGGTACTTTTCTCTTGTTTCCATATTTATCATGATGGATGCTGGTTTCCTACAAAGTACTCCTTGGGAGTTGGTGGGTGAGAATCAATACAAATATAAATGGTCTAGGGAAGGCAACATCCTCACAATACTAAGTGAGTTTTTGTGAAAGATTTGGAATGATCTTGGGTAAATTCAAATAATCCTATATAGAATTAAGAAAAAAAATAGTTATTTCAATTTCAAATATACAAACAAATCACAGATGAAATGACTGGTAGGGGAACATAAAAACTTCATAAATGACAACTTTCTACCATCCTAACCACTAACAATTTCAAAACACTCATGAATTCAGTCCTGGAAACCTGACAGAAGTCAATCAAGTATATGTTCTACATGGATCTTTACATCTTGAAAATTACAACCAGAAAGAGTCTAATTGCTAAAAACTAATAAAGAAATGAAAGCAGAGCTCAATTGGATTACAGATTGTTTTTTCCGAAGGGCAGATTCCCACTTCATGCAGCTGAGAGAATTGAAAACTGTTCAGATTTGAGGTAAAGACTTGATATAAGTGATCAGAATATTTCTCTGAATTTTAGATCTTTCCCAATTATACAGAAGAATCTGTTTTGCTATTTTACCTCTTGTCCCCCAAATGCATTCACTGGAAGCAAATGGCCAGCTTGAATTCATTATCATCATCATAACAATAATGAATTACACCTAAATGGCACCTCTGACGTATAAACCTGGTTTATACAAGGATCTTATCTCAGAATTAATCCTCCCTTATAACTATTTCAGTCAGATCTATGAACAGCATTCTTTCTGGAAAAATACTAACTTCATAAGATCTGATCATATTCCAGACAATATAAAATATCACTCTCTAGGACCTGATAACCCTTTCTTCTCTGGTTTATTAGAAAGTGTCCAATCACCACTTTTCAACAGTTTCCTGGAATCAATTTTATAATACCCCATAATAGGTATGAAAATTGTCAAAAAAACACCAAGCTTCTAAGTATAATTGAGGTACAAAAGAAACTGTATTTCAAAAAGTCACAAGACAATGCTAGAAAAAGTCAACCAAACTGACTACATGTAGGATGGATTTTCATATTTAGATATAACTACCTTTTGTTTTTTAAAGTTAGTTTATAAATTTTAAAATTATTACTGAAGAGGGAGACATTTATAGTTTAGTATTCAACCATATAAAGTTGCAAACATATAAAGGCAAATGTTTTAATGGTTTGTTGAGATATTTAAGGGAAAAACATAAAAATAAAACGTGCTACACAATGACATTTATCAACAATGAACAACATATTTGATGGTGGTCCCTTAAGACTGTCACGTAAGGATATTATAACCCTCTTTAGTTTGTGTAAATACACTATGATTTTCACACAGTGAAATCAACTAAGGACATATTTCTCTGAAAGTATCCCTGTCATTAACACATGAATGTATATGACCCATGAAAATGTAAAACAATATATCATAAGAAAATAAAACTGGGAAAGACCTAAATAAGAGACAGTTGATGGTGGCAAAAAAATAATAAAGCAAAAAAAAAGACTAATGGGGCTATTTTATTAGATGCTGACCAACAAAACTTGAAATTAATGCCAAAATTAAGCAAACACAGGAAGATACACAAACTGAGCATCCAAATTTGTGAATTCTAAAATAAGTAGACACCAAAAAAAGTCATTTTACAACTATAGGCTTAAATATCCTTTTAGGTCTAGTTCCACATTTAGACTCCAATTTTTCACTCTAACTATGTTAAGAAACAATTTTCTTTTTAAGAAAATAATAGTAATACACACACAATAGGAAATTTTTAAAAAAAGGAAAACAGAAAAATCGCCTGTAATAATACTGTCCAGAAATAATCAACATTAGCCTCTCAAGCCATTTTTATATAGGGGTTCATTTAAGCACAAAGCATTCTCTGCCATTTCTTTTTATTTTGCTTTACTTTTCTTTATAGCACTTTTTATTTGAAATTATATTCTATAATTATTTGTTTATTATATACTTCCCTACCAGAACAGAAACTCCTTGAAGGCTTATTGTCTTTATTTTACCACTGTAAGTCCTGTTTTTAGAACCATATCTACCAATTATAGACATTCCATAAACATTTGTTGAACAAATACATACATTTTTAAATTGAGATCATATTGTAATCAATCTAAATTAGGTTAGCTGCAGAGTGACTAAAGGGGTCAAGACAGAGTTATTCACAATGCAAAATTTTGTATCCTACTTCTTTCACTTAACTTTACCTCACGTTTTCTCTTGTCTTCAGATATTCTTTGAAAACATAATTATCTTTTAGAATGGCTGCATATGGATGCATTACAATTTACTCAAGCATTCCCTACAGTGGGATATTTCAGGTTATTTCTAATATTTTACAGTTCTAAGCTATGCTGAGATATAAGTAAATTTTTTATTTGTATTTTTAAAAACCACATAATGGAAATTAATTTACCTGTTGGATAGAAAAGCTTTTCCTCATACCATCTGGAAACACTGATGACTTTTTTTTACTCACAGTTTTATGGGATGCCAGCCGGTGACGTACTTGTTTCATGGTTTGACTAAGCTGCCAGGGAATGGAGGAAAAAAGAAAACAAAAACAAGTTAAAGTCTTAATACCAAATACACTAAGTGTTCCAAAAGGAAAACAGGTACCCATTATTAAAAATACGGACCTAATATAAGAGGATTACTTAAAAAGGAAATTTTGATCTATATAGTATTTTATGATATTATTATCATTATTCTAAAAGACTGAACTTTATAATGTAGGGGCTGTGATTCACATAATTTTTTAATCAATATATACATTATATTAAGTGTGAATGCCAAAATCAGAACTTAAATGTCTGAATCAATATACTTAGAAATTGTTGCACAAACTCATTCTTAACTCCCTTCTATTCCATCTTTTCAATAAGGAGTTATTTCTTCAACTAGTCTTTGTATGCCTAATTGCTTTCATCATTCCTTGCTAGAAGACTCTATTCCTAGTTGCCCTAAGACTCTTGGTTGTTTCCTATTGATACGAATCCTTTCTGAACACCCAACATTTGAAGACCAAGTTAAAGTATTTTCTCAGATCTCCTTTCCTTAAAGATGCCTTCCAAAATTAACTTAGAACACATCTCAAAAGAATCAATTTGTTTCAACTGCACTAAATAATCTCTGATAAATGACTATTAATATTAAATAGATTGACTTTATTTTCATTCCTTGTCTCTAACTAGTAATTTCAGTATATACCTATTTTGATATCTTTTTCAGAGGAGCACAGCCTATTTACCTCTCTCAAATCTGCAAGGTATGACCCATTAGGGAAAAGAAACAAATGAACCATGTACCATTTTTTAGGATGAGCGCTGCAACTCATGGTGAACAAGCAAACCTACATATTCTTAGGAACATTTTGGCAAAGTCAGGACCATTTGTAAGCCATTCATTGAAAGATCAATGCTATCTATACTCCCTTGAGGGGAAATTATGGCTAAGACTTAACAGATGTCAGTAACAAATACTTAATGATTTTTAACTAAAAATGAGCTAAGAAGGAAAAACTCTCATTACTAGCCCAGTTTTTCTAACAATTATATCATCTCTGCTTAGTCCTTGCTTCTAGAAATCCATACTGCTAACCAGAGAAATCATCTTGAAACATTACTCCTTATTTTACCAAGGGCAGGACTTCTAAATTAGGTTAGCTGCAGAATGACTAAAGGGGTTAAGACAGAGTTATTCACAATGCAAAAAGAGACATACATGCAGCTGAAGTTATTAAAAAAAAAAATACAGGGTCTGGGATTGTAGCTCAGCAATAGAGCACTCGCCTAGCATGTGCAAGGCCTTGGGTTTGATCCTCAGTACCACATAGAAATAAACTGAATAAAAGTATGTGTCCAACCATACCTAAAAAATAAATATTAAAAAAAAATACAAAGCCATAAATTGCCTGCTTCTTTCTCCACCACGTATGGTAGGTTTCATGGTCCCACATTTTGTAAACAGGATTCAAAAGTTCCAATGTAATAAATTTAAAATAGGGCTTCAGAATCTTTATTTCCTATCAAAGTCCTAATCTCCATTAGATTCAGATTGATTACAATTCCTTAAGTAGGATATTTCAACTGGCCATGCAATAAAAATATACTTTATGCTTTTTCTATTTCTTTTTCCACCATAATTCTTCACTGAACCTCAGTCTTGTAAAGGTCTTTCCAATGACTACTATGAGAACTACAGAAGGATGAACAATGGCCAGCCAAAGAAATCAGGTCTCAAATCTCAATCCCCGGAACCTATATATGTTACTTTGTAGAGGAAAAGGGCCTTTGTAGTTGTGGTTAAGTAAAAGATCTTTAGATGATCCTCATTTATCCAGATATGCATTAAATGCCATCCCAAGTATCCTTATAAAAGAGTAGTAGAGGGATATTCAATCTACAGCAGAGAAAGCAATACAAAGATTCAGGCAAACATTGATATGATGTGGCCACAAGTAAAGGAATGCCAGCAGAATTAAAGGTGGAAAAGACAAAAGAAACAAATTTTCCCCTAAAGCCTATAGAGGAAGCATGGCCCTATTGATGCCTTGACTTTGGTTCACTGAAACTGATTTTCAACTTCTGGCCTCTAGAACTGTAGGAAAATGCATTTCCATCATTTTAAGCCATTACATTTGTGGTGATTTTATTACAGAAGCTACCAGAAATGTAACTAATATAGCAAGAATCAAAATTAATATTAATAAGAATTAATAAAAAGCTATTCCACTCCTTGGCATTTGTCCAAAAGAACTAAAATCAGTATACTATAGTGATACATGTTTGTAGCAATGCAGTTTACAATAGCCAAGTTACAGAACCAAAAGTGTCCATCAATAAATGAATGGATAAAGAAAATGTGGTACAATACACCATGGAGTTCTGCTCAGCCATAAAGAATATATTATATCAATTTCCAGAATTTGGATAAAGTTGGAGAACATCATGCTCAGTGAAATAAGTCAGATTCAAAGTTTAGGGTCAAAATTTTTCTCTTCTATGTGGAAGCTAAAGAGAAAAAAGAAATTAAAAAAGGGATCTCTCAAAAATAGATGGGAGACTAGTAGAGTAAAGGAAGGGGATTGAGGGAGGAGGGAAGAAAGGAAGAAAAGGGAAGGTACTGGGGAAATAAATTGACCAAATTATGCTATATATATATGTGAATATATCATAAAGAATCATACCTTTATTTATAATGATAATGTATCAATTTTTAAAAACAAACAAATAGAAGGGAGACCAGTAGAGTACACAAAGGGAATCAGAGGAGAGAGGAGGAAAAGGAAAGGGGAAGTATTAGAAAATGAAATGGAACAAATTATGTGCATGTATGAATGTCACAATGAATCTCACCATTATGTAAAATTATAATGAAACAATAAAGAGATATTACTATAAAATTATGCAAAATTATGTGCTAAATAAAATGAACAAGAAAATAAGTATACCTCTCTCACTGCAAGATGCTAATCCTACATGCTTAATTGTTTGTGTGGTTTATATATTAATTCATGCAACATATATTTATAAGTGTATGTTTAAAAATACATGTGTATTATGGGCACATGCTATGGGTATATGAACATTCAAAAAATAAAATTTAATTAAGTCTTTTTAATACTAGAACCTCAGACACACTATTCATTCTCTTATAGCCATTGTTATTAACCCACTAAGTCACAAGTTTTCAGTTTTGCAACTATTCCAATGAATCTGACACAAGTACATTAAAATAGACTAGAAGGGGCTGGGGTTGTAGCTCAGTGGTAGAGCACTCACATAGCATGTGTGAGGCCCTAGGTTCCATCTTCAACATCACATAAAAATAAGTAAATAAATAAAGGTATTATGTTCAACTATAACTAAAAAATATATTTTAAAAAATAGACTGGAAATCCATATTTAGAGCTTATATTGATGTGTCTGTGTGTATATATACACATAAATATATTTCATATACCTATTTTCAAACGTGGTAGTCATTCACTTATTACTTTTCTCAAAATAATAGAACTCTAAATTCATAATTTTTAGTTCAAAAGTTACCATAAGTAATATATTTGTTACTCAATTTAAGTTTTTATAGGTATCCCACATCTGTGACAGTGGAATTTAATGGTTTAACAAAGATTAGCACTAAATCTGACCAAAACTTTAAAGATTCCCTTATAGAGATAAGTCATTCAAAACTGCATAGAAAATCTAGCAAATCAAAAATCAATATAACTCCAAATAAAGCAAAAAGCCATATACAGAAGGAAAAGTAATCACAGTTTACTACCTAGCTCAACTGTACTGTTTACATAGTCATAACAATGCAAATGTGGAATATCAATCTAAGCAAAATTACTACATAACTATAAAGAGAGGGTGAAGGTGGAAAAGGTATATGTGTAATAACAAGAGGGGATAGAAAGAGCCAAATCTTCGTATTTCAGAGACACCAATATAAATGCCTGAACTGTTATTAAAAATCAAGAAAGAACATCACAAGCATCTTACTTAGAAATATCAAAGTTAATACCAAATGATACGACAACAACAACATTCCCTTTTGAGGAGGGAATGATAAAATGTGAAAGACATTTGTTTTTAAACTGTAAACATTGTACATATCTACTTCTTTTACTTGCTTAAACTATATGCATATATAATTTTAACAAAACATAAAATTTAAAAAAAGATTCCTTTACAATTTCCCACAAAAAGCTACCTCTCCATGAACAACATAAGCATGTAGAATCATTTTGGGCTTTCATAATGCATATATAAATGCAATTATTTCAGACCTCAGGAATATTCTAGAGAACACATGCCTGTATTTTCTTCCATCCAGTAGGAAGAATCCTTGCCAACAAAACTTGGCTCATACTGACCCTTAAAGACAATATCCCAGATATATTAGATAATTAATCATAGTACCTTCTAAGGAAAACTGTCACCCCCACAAACCCTAATAGAGGGACAGACAGCCTTTGGCAACACTGTGCCTAGATTTTTCTGATTAGATTAGCAACAACATCAGTGATGTTAGCAAATAAATACAGGTCTTGAGGCAATGTCTTATACATTTACAACAAAAGGTCTGAACCACTCACAGAAACATAATTTCAACAATGAGCAAAGGGACTTTTATCTGATAAACAAAAATTTTACTATATAAGCAAATTTCAAGATTTAAATCTTAAAATCTAAAGCAAATAAAATTTTATGTTAAAATTTAAAATATCAGGCAAGTACACAAGATAAAATATGACAGATAATCTACTATGACTCTTTTCATTGTTCTTATTTTTTCAGTTCTTTCTAATGTTCATGCATTTTTTTAGCCAAATAAGATTTAGAAAGGTGGAATTTATGTAACTACATAAACTACACAGGTCATGGGAATAAAGCACAGCTAAGATCTACCCAAAATTGAATTCTATTCAAGTACAATGTAGCTTTTTTGCAAATTATATCATACTGATTTTTAAATGTTCAGACTTTTCAGTGCTGGCACAGTGGTGCATGCCTATAATCCCAGCAGCTTGGGAGGCTGAGGCAGAAGGATTTCAAGTTCAAAGCCAGCCTCAGGGAAAAAAAAAAAAAAAAAGCAAAGTGCTAAGCAACTCAGTGAGACCCTGTCTCTAAATAAAAAATATAAAAATCAGGCTGGGGATGTGGCTCAGTGATTGAGTGCCCTTGAGTTCAATCCCTGTTTAAAAAAAAAAAAAAAATTTTTTTTTTTTACAGTGGTCAAAAAATACTAGAGTTAAAACTTACAAAAGCCCTTTATTATAGTCCATAAACCCCCATGCAATGCATCAGTTGCATTAGCTTTCTTTTGTAATTGTCACTAACAATCTACAGGATGGCCAGTAACCTAGATCTAATGCAAAAAAGGCAAACTGGACAATAAAGATACCTTATCAGAGATAATGAACTAGCAAATATTCTGAGAAAAATCAGAGATAGGTCCTGAGCCTAAAAGGCCCTAAATCCTATACTGGAGAAAAGACATGAAAGTAGCCTCAAGTGTGCCAAAATTACAAAGCTATAATAAGTGAACACAAGTTAATAGAAGAAAAATAAGTTAATAAGAGAAGCACAAGTGTAGAAATAAGATGACCTAGGTTTGCCTATCCTGGTTTGCCTGGAACTGTTCCAATTTTAGCACTGGAACCCCATGTCCTGGGAAAAACCCTCAATACTGAAAAAAGAAGGAAGGATAGGATCAACTGATTCAAGTTAACAATTAAATACTAGTGTGAAGCTCAAAGATCCCACACTCTTGGGGCCATTGGAACTACCTTAAATCCAGAAAAACTTTCAAGTTATACACTCTTGAAAGGACTAGGGATAGGTATAAGATTTGGATTCTGACTTTATTAACCCCTGGTGCTTAAAATAAACTTCCCCTTGCTTGGTTAGCCTAAATTCTTGCAGCCAAAAGAGTTTAATTGAAAAACTAATTTTTTCAATAGTAGAAGAGAGGAAAATTTAGCTGGTTGTTTCATGTCATTTAAACTTTAACTTCACAGAAAATAATTTTCCCAAGGTATTTTTAAAAAGTTGGAAAACTAGCACTGTAATGAGAGTAAAAATAAAAACAAGAGCATAAAAGGTTCAGTGAGAAACAAATAGAAAGCCAAGTTAACCTTACAAGGAAAGAAACAGTGGTGAACTTAATAGTCTATAAATTTTTAAAATATTATATAGTAAGAATGAAACTGCTAAGTTATTCTTCACTTTCCCACCAAAATGAAGTAATCAAGGGACACCATAGAAACTCAACTCCTAAGGATAGATATCAGTTCTAACAAAAGAAATGGCTGGTTCTATTTTATGTGATGAGCTGAAATTTCTTCCAGTTCTATGACTCTAGCTCCTAATTTTAGGGGCCTAATTGTATCTGATCTTTGAATAAGTAGGTAATACTAAGTATTAAGAGATTCTGGCCAAACCACATCTGAAATAATAAGACTATGTTCAGATTTGGGGGCCATAAGCAGCATTTAGAAAAAAAAAAATCAAAAGGCTTTAAGAATGTAGAAATCCAAAAGAAGAAAAATGATAACTATAATTAAATACTTGAAGTCCTTTTAGAAAGTATTTTATTTTTTATTATTTGAGAGGGCAAAACTAAAACCAACAAATAAAAGTGATACAAAGGGCTGAGGTTGTAGCTCAGTGGCAGAGTGCTTGCTTAGCATATATGAGGCACTGGGTTCAATTCTTAGCACCACATATAAATAAATAAAATACAGGTCCATCAACAACTAAAAAATTTTTTTTATTCAAAAAAAGTGATAGGAAATTTTTGACCATTATATTGAAAAAACAGCTATAATAATTCCAAGTATTCTAAAAATAAAGTGAACATTCTGAAAAAGTAGTAGGATATCCAATAGAAGTGTTTTAGCAGAAATTAGATTGATATATATCACTGATATATATCATTGATATATATAAATACACACACACACACACACACGATGATATAAAAGAACTCTTTACAGAGAGAAAAACTGAATCAGATATCTTTTTGGGGGGCAGGGGAATAATAAAGAATGAACCCAGGAACATTTTACCAATTAGCTGTATCCCCATCCCTTTTTATTCTTTGAACACACTCTTGATAAGTTGCTAAGACTGCCCCTGAACTGGCAACCTTTCTGCCTCAGCCTCCCAAATCACTAGGATTATAGATGTGTGCCACCACACCCAGACCAATATCTTTTTTTAACATTTAATTAAAAGCTTAAATAACTTTAAACATATGGAAAACTTCAAACAGAAATAAAAAGAAGACTATATTACCCAGTATTAATACTATTTATCCATAAACTTCCTTCTCTGGCTCACTCTTATATTATTCTGAAGTATACTTCAGAAGACAAATCAATTTGTCCTTAAATATTTCATATGCCAGATGAACTTTAAAACACTTCCAGGGCTGGGGTTGTGGTTCAGCAGTAGAGCGCTCGTCTTGCACGCACAAGGCCCTGGGTTCGATCCTCAGCATCACATACAAATAATAAATAAATAAATAATAAAGTTAAAAAAAAAAAAGCCACTTCCAATTCAAGATTCTGCTTCTGTAGTTCCAAGATACTAGGAAACTGGAAAGTCCACTAACATTTAGAAAATGAATTATGTTCACCATGCGCTTAATCAGTTCTAGTTAACTAGGGATTTAGAGTCTGACAGTTTTATTGCCTAGCTTCATAGTGACATCTAGTGGATTAAAACTGCAACAAAAAAAGCAAGATTAAAAAGCATCTATTGTTAAATTGTATGGGTAAAAGTTCACATGCCCAAAATAGTTAAGTCACTAAATATTCTTTAGAAAATTCATCTTCTTCCAAGAAAAAAAAATTAAAACAAGGCATAAAAAGTTTTTAAAATTTTGTAATATTCAGTGCTTTTTATAACCTGATTTTTCTTACTCATCTAACTTCATTTTCTGGTTCTTTATAAACTATCAACTAGAAAGCCTTTTTCTTTTCTTCACAAATATACCAACCACACTGCAGATTCTAAGTCTTTAACTGTTTCTCTCATTTCAAAATTCTCTTATCAATTCAGCTTACCAATTCAAAATATACAACCCCATCCATTTATTTCATAAATTCTTCCCCTATTATTTCCTCAGAATTTAAATATTTCTTAACTCTCATGGCAAAACTTAATTGCCAGATACAGGAAATAGGTCCATAATATTATTTAATAGACTAGGGACTATTAGCTTTGTATACCTACCTGGAAATATAAGTCCACGGAAGGTTCCATTTCACATTTCATTAGTATCCCCACAATGCTTAATAAGTATAATGCATTCAAATACATGCTGACTAATGTGTTCAATCCATGCTTTAAACAAATGCAGTCCATAGCCATAAGTACCACAAAAGCAAAGACTGAAGGTGTCTGAGTAAATGTTCTATTCCTGTATTTTATACAGTGCCTGGCTCAATAAATTTTTGCCAAATTGTTCATAATATTAAAAGAGAAAAAATGATTATGAAAATTATTACTACAAACCAAACGAAAAGTTCGTTTTAGATAAAGGAAATTTAAAAACAAAATTTCAACATTTCATATACCTCTAAAGCTTTCCTATTTATACTAACAGCCCAATCAGATTATGACTAAGTACATTAACTTAGGTAGTAATACAACTTTTATTCTCAGAGTCATTTCCACATTTTTTCTCCTCCTCTCACTATCCTTAGGAAAGTACTTTGTTTTTTTAATATTTATTTTTTAGTTTTAGGTGGACACAATCTTTATTTTTATGGGGTGCTGAGAATCAAACCCAGTGCCTCACGCATGCTAGGCAAGCACGCTACCACTTGAGCCACATCCCCAGTCCCAGGAAAGTACTTTTTTAATAAGATGAAGAACAACTTCCAAAGTAGAGGTGAAGAACATACCAAATGAACAAAAGCTCAGGTACACTAAGGAAGGAGCTGTCTAGAAGTCAAGTATTTGAATACATGAATCTAGTCATAATTCTTAATTAGGTATATAAAATGAGTTATTAAATAAAAAGTACATATTTTACAAAAATTCTGGATATGTTTAGGCACTCCTATATTATTACTTTACCTACAACCATAGATCCATTTATTAAGATAACAAGACAGAAAAGAAAAAACATACAAAGTACTAAATGAAATACTCTATAGAAGAACTGAATATCTTTGCAACAAAGGTAAGAATCACTTCTGTCTGTATGCTACAATGTAACTTAAGCAGAATATAATTTCATTATAATTGAGAAAATCTGTTCTTTGGCCTGAAGCTCTTTCTAATGAATTTTGAATTCTAATACTTGAGCACCTTTCTTTAGATGATTCTAAGTCATACAAAATAAACCAAAATGTAAATTAGAAAAATACATATAAAAATAAGCATTATTCCACTGGTCTCTATTTTTACAAAGAGTAAAAAAGAAAGTGATAAAAAGTAAAGTTGAATATATCCCTATTTCATATTCTATCAATGTCATATTTTTAGTTTAGAGGATGGGGAAAAATCAAATATAAGATAAAACAAGTATGCACTTACAGCTTGGGCTTGTTGTTGGAATAATTCATTCTGATTCTCTCCATCTTTTATTGCACTCCCAAACATCTGGGAAGCAGGTAACCCAGAACTTCCAATTGCAGAATTCAAATTGCTTGGAAAAATACTTGTCCCTTTAGGAGTGAAGTGTGCTGGATCTGAAGATTGCATGGCTATAGAACCTTCTTTTTCTGCCTACACAAAAGAAAAAGGAGGGATATGAGATGCCACTCCAATCCAGTGTAATCAAATAATGGTTGGGAGAAATTAGCTGGCAAAGGAACTAACTTTTACCAGTTACCTGTTTGTATTAATAACATTTATATTATTTCACTTATTTCTCACACAATCTTGTAAGAGAAGCATCATATCCATATTTTATAGATATTTATTCTGTTTTTTTAATTTGTTTTTATTTTATTTGTTTATTTTTTATGTGATACCAGGGATCAAACACAGTGCCTCACACGATAGGTAAGTGCTCTACCACTGAGCCAAAACTCCGGCCCCATTGACATTGTTTTTAACTATTTAATGAAAGCAAAGAACACATCAGAACACACAGCAATAAAACATGATTTCTCTATATAAAAACCTTGTGTACTCACTAGAAAATCAGATTATATAAAGCATGAAATTAAAAGAAAGTGATACTGTTACTGCCTAATAGTTTATCTTACAGTATACATACTTTGCACTCAATCATTACTCAGGTTCACTTTTAATTTTTTTTTATTAGTTATACATGACAGTTCAATGATCTTGACAGTTCATACATATGAATCAAATGGGGTATAATTTCTTATTTTTCTGATTGTACAGGTTGCAGAATCACATTGGTCATACAGTCACCCATATACATACAGCAATAATAATGTCTATTTTATTCTGCTGCTCTTCCTATCCCCTCTTCTCCTCCCCTCCCCTCCCATCCACATTTTTTTTAATATTTATTTTTTAGTTGTAGTTGGACACAATATCTTTATTTATTTATTTTTATGTGGTGCTGAGGATGGAACTCAGGGCCTCCCACATGCTAGGCGAATGCTCTAACGCTGAGCCACAACCCCAGCCCCCAGGTTCACTTTTGAACTTACTGCTTCAAAAGACTTCTGAAGCTGTTGCTGTTTTTTCAGTCTAATTTGTTGATTGACTCGGTGTTTGACTTGTCTCTGAAAATGTCTCAAAGCTTCTTGTTTTTTTCGTAGTTGTTCCTTTAGTTCTTCTTCAATCATATGTGCTGAAGTCTTCAAAGATAAAAGAATTAATTTGCCTATCAGAAGTTTTGTCCATTAGGGCTGTTGCAAACACAAAGAAGTCAGGATATAATCCTGGAAAAAATAATTCAGTTCTATAACCCAAAATTACCAGAAGAGTAAGGAAATTATGAGTGTTCAGAGATAATGATCTACATAGTGAATACCAGGTACTTAAACCAAATCATAAACTAAAAATTAGAATTCGTAAGTACTCAAATTTTAATTATTTATTAAACTGAAAATAAAAATGTCCACATTCTTTTTTCCCCACATTTTATTGATTCTTAATGAACCAATTTAAACCCACTCCTGTAATACATTTTCTAAATGGAGTAAATGGTACTGATACACCAGACTGCTCAGATCTCACCAGATATATCCTACTGTAAAACTCCTTCATACTCAGAATTATTCTCCATTTTTAACATAGTATGTTCTTATTTTCATACCCACCTAGTAAAGGGCCTGCTCAATCTTCAAGACCATCTAAAATCCATCCCTAGTACCTCCCATAACACGCTGAGCTCTTATGCTATGGCATCTCTCATTTTACTAATTTTACTGAGTTCAACATTTATGGACTCATCCATCAGATTATGAGCTCTTTAAGGACAGGAAATGCATTTAATATCTACTTGTTTTCCCTACAATACAGTATAGAGCCCTGATTATAAAGGTACTGAATAAATATTTATAAAATGCTTTCTTCCTCAATAATTCTAAGCAATCTAGAATATTTCATCACATTTGAGTTCCTGATTTGCATTCACCTCCTCTAAGTGCTCTGAACAACCACAGGAACGAAAATAACAGCCATTAACAGTTTTAAGGATCTATTATATGCAAGCACTTTATATCATATCACTCTATCCTCAACACTACCTTCAGTAGTATGGTAATTCTTTGGTACAAATGAGGACACTGGTGTTCAGAATGATTAATCTTCAGCAGAAGCCCAAGATTCTATAGCTGGCTACTAGCAGAGCTAGAAGTTTCTGTTACTCTTAAAACTTTTATTATCTATCCTGTATTGCTTTTCTCCTGACTATATGTTCTTCTTTCATAAGGAATTTTCAAATTAAATTAAATCGTCATGATACCTGCTTCCTATTGTTTTTTATACCACAGTGATTTCAATCTGAAGAGTATCTCAAGGGTTGGGGTTATGGCTCAGTGGTAGAGCACTGGCCTGGCATGTGTGAGGCACTGGGTTCGATCCTCAGCACCGCATATAAATAAACCAATATCCATCAACAACTAATAAAATATTTTTTTAAAAAAAGAGTATCTCAGTTTATATTATAAGCTCCTATTAAATTCTCAAAAATAAAATGAATTTTAATAAAATTAAGGTTTTCAAGAAACCTATCCCATAAACTATTCTACAAGAATATGGTCAATTAGAGTGGAATGTACAATACAAATAGCAAGAAACAACAGAGTAAAATAATTCCAAAACAGAATTATTTACATAATAAAGTCTGAACTGACGCAGATTAGACCAAGTCTAGACAAATTTAAGCCTCAATAAATCAAGCCTCCTAGTATTTATGCTCATGTTTAGTATGTTGCCACACCAAATTTGATCCAGCCTTGAACATATGATAGAATGAAGTAGAAGTGTTGGCTTTGTGACTTCCCAAGCAAGGTCATAAAGCAACTTCTACCTGAAGCTCTTGGAGTGCTCGCTCACTCTGGGAGAAACCAGAATCATAAGAATTCTCACTACTCTGAGAGTACCATGCTTGAGGAAACACAAACTGGCCAAATAGGCTTTCTGAAAAAAGAAAGATATACAACCAGCCCCCAGCCATTTTAGTCATCCTGGCCTAAGTGCCAGAATGTGAGCAAGAAAGCCATCTTAGACAACAGCCTATCAAGCATCATAAGAAGAAGCACCAAAGAATCCAACCAACAACCCAGTCAAGCTGTCCCAGACAAATTAAGCTACCTCTGATGAGGCCCCAGACACTTGAAAAGCAGAGACAAGCCATCCCACTGTATTCTGCCTAAATTCCTGACACAATATTTTTGCTTTGTCAATAGATTCTCAGCAAAAGATAACTAGAAAGTATACTAATGTAATAGCCATACATGATAATAGGACAGCAGCGTCACTTAATGCTAATTTAATTATTGGGAGGGAATGGAGATCTAAGCTCTAGCATTATTTTTAGGAACCCTGATGACTCCTTAAAATTGGGGGGGGGATGAATAGGAGTTCCTCTTTAGAGTAGACATGATGTTAGTGTAACAAGTTTTAGAAGTAACTACTTTCATCTACTCTGAACCAATAGTGCTATTCTGTAAATAAGAGTGGATTCCCAAACTAGACAGGCTAAAGTAATAAAGAGATGTATTAGATACTTGACCAAACTTCCTTCAGCTAAAATTGATTCGAATTTTTTAAATGAGGGAAAGAAGACATGTTTATACATATTCCAGTCTTAAATTTTTGAATTAATGTGTAGGAACTTAAGATTCAATTTTTTTTTTTCCAATACTGGAGATCAAACCCAGGGCCTAACACATACTAGGCAAGCCCTCTACCACTAAACTACATCCCCAGCCCCTCATTTATTTTGTATTTTATTTTGTTTATTATTATTATTATTATTTGGGGGAGTCCTGGGAATATCCCTGAGCTATATCCCCAGTCCCCCCCCCTTTTTTTTTTAATTTTTTAAGTCAGGGTCTAAGTTGCTGAGGCTATCCTTGGCCTTCTGTCTCCTCCTTTAGTCTCCTGCCTTACATCCTGAATCACTAGGATTGCAGGCATGTGCTGCAGCACCTAACTCTTTTTTTAATTTTTAAGACAGGGTGTCATCATGTTACCCAGACTGGTCTTGAACTGGCAATCTTTCTGCCTCAGTCTCCCAAATAGCTGGGATTAGAGGTGTGCACTACCACACCCAGGATAAGATTTAACTCTTCTTAAAATACAAAAAGAAGCCAGACACAGCTGCACACGACTATGATCCCAGGAGCTTGGGAGACTGAGGCAGGAGGATCACAAGTTCAAAGCTGGGCTTAACAATTTAGCAAGATCCTATCTCAAAATAAAAAATAAAAATGGCTGCAGACGTTGCTCAGCAGTTAAGTGCCCCTGGGTTCAATCCCTGGTACAAAAAAAAAAAAAAAAGGCTAGAAAAGAGCTTGATGGTGTCAAACTTTAGGCGGTTTGATAATGCTGACATGTGACATGACAAAGATGTCATAATCTAAGCCATTAAAAAGCTATATTAATAACTTAAATAATGAAGGACACTTGCACCAAAACTGATTCTTCTGGGATATTTCTTATATATCTTTTTTCATCCCCATTTCAACCATCCTTTTTTGAAGCTTTTCCTTTTTATTTCTTAGCACTATAAAAGTTTTGATGGGGACTGGGGTTGTGGTTCAAAGGTAGAGCACTCGCTTAGTATGCATGAGGCACTGGGTTCAATCCTCAGCACCACATAAAAATAAAGATATTGTATCCACGTATAACTAAAAAATAAATATTTTAAAAATATTTTTTTAAAGTTTTGATGGTATACTTCATGCTTAAGTTGTTACAATTATATCCTAACCTGTCCCCCTGGATCCAATCTCTCCCTAATCTTTAAAAGTTTGAAGAAATTAATTTAACCAAAACACAGATAATGAAATTCATTTGTAAATATTAAACAATAAAGTCAATCCCTTCTCCAAAATGTCCTATAGTTCCTCACCACCCTTATTTTCCATAGTCCTCCCAACCACCATTCCCCTAACTTTCCATGTCAATCCATAGAATCAACTCTTAGAATCCTGAACACACCTTGTTTACTTCCATCTCTCCCCATTTCCCTTAGGAGAATCATCCCACTCTCTTCCCAGATTATCCAAAGTCTTTTTAAACTTTCCTGGTTCACATAAACTCAATCATCTCTTAGCACTTAATCATGGTCTAGTGAGACTCTTAAAATTTCTTTCAGAAAATACATAGGGTAGAAACAAATCAGTTAACATATACATATACATATGAATATTAATTTAGTAAATATACTACCTTGCTTTGTCATTTAACATTTACTTCAAAATGTCTCATTTCTCCTCTAGGATAAAGTGTACATACTTTAGTGAAAAGGGAAAATACTTTTCCACCCATACTTTTCCTGCCCTCCTGCCTCATTACTCTGGTACATGTTTAGTACCCAATCTATTTATACAGAAGATCATTACACATTTTGTGCATTCCATAAATATTTACTGAATGCCTATACTTATTAGGCAATATTTATTTAAGATAAAAGTGAGGTAATGATAAACAAGATTTCTTACCTATAAACAAGGAGCTTATACTCCATCAGGAAAAGTAGATACATAACGATTTACTATAATACAACTTCGTATTTACCTTAATAAAATTTTAACAAAAAGCTAAGGCGCACAGTTTGGGGAACCACTATCAAAAACCTTCTTATGGGGCTGGAGTTGAAGCTCAGTGGTAGGGCACTTGCCTACTAGCACATGTGAGGTAGTAGGTCCAATCCTCAGCGACGCATAAAAAATAAAAAAATAAAATAAAGGTATTATGTCCATCTACAACTAAAGAACAATTTTTTAAAAAACCTTCTTATATGAGAACCATCATGTAAACATGGACATGTAAATTTTGCAAAAGTTTTCCTTCATCTGAAATGCATCTCCTTTCAGGGCTAATAGACCATATTTCCTCACTCATGATCTACTATGTGCAAGAGCAGGAAGGAACAAGAAATAAGGTTCCTGTTCTCAGGGAATTTATAGTTAAAACTGTCTCAAAATCCCAATCAATTAATTTCTTTCTCCTTTTTACTTGAATCTCCATTTTAAAACATAGGTACTGTTTTGCAAGCAATCAAGTTTGTAAAGTAAACTGATATACATCCTGTCCCATGTATTATGACCTGCACAGTAGGTCTACTTAAATAGTATTTTGATTGTACCAACTAAAGCTCCAGCAAGTTTTGGCAAAAAACATACTTGATCTATAATCCTAACGCAAAAATATAATCTATTTACAACAAAACAGAAACAACATCCTCCAACTGTTCGTCTTTAAGCACCAAAAACTAGAAAAGACTAATAAAAACAAAGGGGGAATCATGTTTGGATCAAACTATCACTCACAGATGCTGGGATTTCCAAACTATTTGGGGAGGCAGGTTCCACCCATACCCCAACTGGGATTACAGCTTGATTCCTCTCAGCCAGCACTGCTAACACGTCCTTGCTCTTCGTGGGGTTTAAAGCCAGGGGTAACTTTGTGGAATTTTGAGATTTCTTGAGGGGAGCCATACGTCCTTGCATCTGTGACTTCTGATGAGAAAAAAGAAACGCGTCAAAAGCTCAAACCTCCTAATACATGAGTCACAGATCTCTGGGGAAGAGAGAAGCCCTAGGAAGCAGAAACCTGGCATGGAGCAGAAAACTAGGGATTCTAGAGAAATCTGAAAGAAAAAGAGCCGAAGGAAAAAGACGCAAGGAAAGGTTTTAAAACTGCCTTCTGAAAGAAATGGGGATGACAGGAAAGAGAAACAAGGTTCGAAAACGGAGAACTTAAGACTGTGCCTAGGAGTAAACACAGCGCGGGGAGTTGGAAGGGCAGAACCTGGGTCTGAGGCGGAGTCCAAATACCGTAATCGGTATCCGGATATGGAGAGAAACGCTGAACCCGCAAGTTCTGGGACAGATAAAAGCCTGCTTCAGAGGACGCGGGAGCCCACTCCAGCCCAGATAGCACTGGTGCAGTACGAGTCCTGAGCTCGGCCGGAGAGTCAAACTATACTGGACACTAAGGAAACCACCTCAAGTAAACCGCCACTTTCGGCGGACGCCCCTCCCCACCGCTCCACAGCCTTGTGCCCGCCCCTTCCGGGCTTCCCGTCACCGCCCGGAGGATGGGGAGGTGTGAGAGGCGGGTTTTCATGTGCCGGTGTCCGTCACTTCCGCTTCCTGTCCTGCTGACAAGCACGACTGGTAGATGTGTGGGGTTGCTGGGTAACGCGCGAGATAACGCGCGGCCGATCAGTGGACCTAAGACCGTTCCAAAACTTTCAGGAAAGGGCAGCTTTGAGCTGGTGATCTGACCGACTGGGTTGGCCACAGTTGCAGTTGAGGAAAGTACAGGAAAAGAATGGAAGGGCCCGGCGGGATTTCCTAGAGAAACAGACTAGTCAACAATAATTCATACTATTATTTTATATAATTCATTATGTTTGCAGCTGTTTCATACTTCTTGTATTTGAACATCGCAGCCTCATGAGTCGTCTCCCTCTCTGCTCCACACTAATGTAATGCAGTGTAATATATACACTTCATTAACCCTGTGGGACACCCATTCACATTCAAAATATTACATGCTTTTTATATACCACTGCTACTCAGCACTGAAGATAAATAGCGAGCAAAACAAGCAAATATCCTTTGTTAGGGGATTTATAATAAAGTGAAGTAACCGAATAAACATGAAAAGTTAATAAATGTGTCAGATTCTAGAGTGCTTTGGAGTGAAAGGAGACAGGATAGAGAATGTGTTAGGGGAGGACGGGAGATGAAATATTACATAGGATGTCTAGAGAAGGTTTCACTAAGGTGCTTTTGAGTGACGAATTAAATGATATAATATAACAAACCACTGTGGTATTTAAGGGAAGTTTTTACAGTGTTCCAGGTAAAGGAACAGCAAATACAAATGCCCCAAAGTGGGAGCATTGCCTGGTTGAGGAGCAACACGGAGGTTAGCATGACTGAAGCAGAGTGAAAGGGGAAGAGCTGAGACAAGAGACAAAATTTGAGGCCTGGGCTAAGGAACATATTAGAACACTATAAGCCACCATAAAGTTCTGAGACAGGGATTCATTTGGAAGGTTTTGAGCAAAGAAATGCCATAATGTGAGTTGCATTTAAAAAAAATATATTCTAGATGCTGTGTTGAGGAAAGAAGAGGCATGGATAGAAGAAAAACCGATTAGGAGGCTATGGGCAATAATACAGAGATTATGAAGTGTTGGATCAGCAAGTAGTAATGAAGATTGAGAAGAGATTGGATTCTGGATATATTTGGGAGGCAAGATTTTCAGGATCTGCTGAATGTGTGGATATGGACTGTGTATTGTGTGCATGTGATAGGACTTAAGGGAAATTCTAGTGGTTTCATCTTAAGCAACCAAAAGGATGGAATACTATTTACTACTGAGATGGTGGAGATGCTAAAGGCTAGGTTTGAGCTGCTTTCTGGTGTGATGTCTTGAGCCACTTTTCTACACCACAGTCTAATGCCATGATGTTCTGCCTTACCTCAAGCCTTGAGGAATGATGTTGGCTATCTATGGACAGAGACCTTTGAAACCAGTCTGAAGTAGATGTTCACTTGTCGAGCCAGATGTTTCTTCCCAGAGACTCCAGAAAGGAAAAGCAGAGAAGCAAAGTATGAGGTGAAGTGGGAGCAGAGACTAACAGAGAAACCTAGACCATAATTGAACCTCTAGAGAGCAGGAAACAGCCCACTTGTCCTGGTCACACATTTCCTACCTTCTGTCTGTCACCCATAGACAATGTTCCAGTTAATAGTTCTGCACACTTTTAAGCTCCACTGGAGAGAATGTTGGAAATTAGGACACCCAGGTGGGATTGGGAATCACAAATTGCCCCTGACCAGGATAGAACTGAACTGAAACTCCTTGTTCATGAATGGGATTCCTCTATATACAGACAACAGGGCTCCTCTGTCACTACTGCAGAAGAAGGGAGAATCCTAATGAGGGAAGAGAGATGATTCTGCTGGGAAAGAAATTGACCAGGAATTATGGCTCTGAAAAGAAAAAGCCAACTAGGAGTTCAAGGAAATTAACAGTACTCATCTCCTGTCAGAGAAAACAATTCCAACAAAGGAATTCTCAGATTGACCAAAGGGTATTGGTAAGTTTAATCAGTACTTTCATTATAAAATAATGGAAAATAAAATAGACCAGAGGATCTTCAAGTGTGGTCCCATAACTGCAGCATAAATATCATCCAGGAACTATTAAAAATGCAAATCGCTGAATCAGAAACTGAGATAGGGACCCACCAATCGGTAGTTTAACAAGCTCTACAGGTGTTTCTCATGCAAACTAAAGTTAGAAATCCACTGGTATGAGCACTGGAAGCAAATTAATCACAGCTGTGAAGAACAAACTTTAACATAAACCTTGTTGTGGAACAAATGAAAAATTGAGAAACTATCAATTTAAATATCAGAGGTTGACCATCGTTGAGAAGTAAGGATGTAGCTGGATGTAAAATACTTTCTTAACCTAAATACAAAATGGGAATATGTTGACTCATATTTGTGATGGTTCATTGTTTTTATTCAGCTTTATTAAGGTATGATTAACCAAAAAACTGTATATTTACAGTGTGCATGTTTTGGTATACATATATATTATGAAATGAGCATGACAATCAAGCTTACATATCACTTCACCTACCATTTATGTGAGTGGTGAGAACCAATGAAATCCATTCAGCAAATTTCAAGTACATAATATGTTATTATAACTAGCCAACATGCTAAACATTAGGTCTCCAGAGCCTGTTCATCTTGTAACTAAAATTTTCTAGCCATTGACCAACAGTTCCCATTTTCCCCAACCCCATCCTTCTATTTCCTGTTACCATGAGTTCACCTTTCTTAGATTCCACATATAAGTGAGATAACACAATATCTATCTTTCTGTTCCTGGATTAATTAACTTAGTATAATGTCTTACAGGTTCATCCATGTTGTCTCAAGTAGCAGGATTTTTTTTATAGAATGAAAACCAGGCTAAAGTATGTTTCTTCCCTCATCCCAATTTTTATTTTTATTTTTTTGTTTGTTTGTTTATTTATTTATTTATTTATTGTATCAGGGATTGAATCCAGGGGCTCTTGACCACTGAGCCACATCCCCAGCCTTTTTTTATATTTTATTTAGAGACAGGGTCTTGAGGAGTTGCTAAGGGTCTCGCTATGTTGCTGAGACTGGCTCTGAACTCACCATCCTCCTGACTCAGCCTCCCAAGCCTCCAGGAATACAGGCATGTACCAAAGCACTTGGCCTTCATCCTAACTTTTGATATCTGAAAAAGATAATCTCCAGGTCTAGGCTAGAGCATCACCCCTCACTTGAAGGTAAAAATACCACAAGTAGGCATAGTTACTTGGTGGGGGGGGTCAACTCATAGCCTATAAAGAAGTGTGGCTCTGAACTCCTTTTCAGTGATATATTCCAAAGACTTCACTTAGTGGAATTACATAGTATTTTTTTTTTCATGTCCAACTAGCTTCCCATTGGCACCTTACCCTTCTTGGCCTACTTTTACTGGATATTCATTGTTAAAACTTAGCATATGCCATCAATTGATATTGTTTTGTCAAAGCATATTCAAACCAATAATAAAACATAAAATATAATTAAATAACACATGAGCAAGTTCTATACCACCTGCTACTTGCCTGTGCCAACCCAGCCTTTAACATCATGAGAATCAAAGTCCATTATAAAACAGTCAACACAATGCTCTATAAAAAAAAAAAAACATAAAAGTAGACCTAGACATTTCCTGACAGGTTAACAACACATCTAGCCCAGCAAAGGAAGAGAAGTGGCTGAAGCTACCTGGGATATCTGATCTAAAACCACACAGGAAGTTTCAGACTGAGAGCTCACTTATTGTATACTACAAGACCCAGCAGAGAACATTACACTGTGTGAGGCAGGGTCACTCTGACAAGGATCTTCTCTTTCTCTTCCCTTTCATACAGGGGCCAGGAATGAGGCAAAGTTTAATTTTTAAAAATAACATTAGTTCAAGATTTACCTTTAAATTTTTGGTTTACTTTAAATTTGACTTCCTGAATATGGATTGTCCAGTATGTTTACTCTAACATTTCACATGAGAATGTAATATTGCATTAAAGAGTCTGATGGTTTAAAATATAATGCTTTGCCCCAGAACTTGTTCTGTTTTGTTTAAGGCAGTGGGAGTTTATTTTTTTTTATTTTTGTATTTTTTACAATCTCTCATAGTCACAGAAAATTTAGGTTCCATATTTTTGAGAAGTATTTACTGGTTTTATTTACTGAAAGTGAGAAAGTAACTGACATTTTTTTTTATTCTCTCTTCAATAATGAGTGCAGGCCAAGGAATGAAATTGACCAAATTATATTCTGTGCATGTATGAATATGTAATAATGAATTTTACTATTATGTATAATTATAATTCAATAATAAAGAGAATTTTAAATAAAATTTTTTGAAAGAACTAGGTTTTAGAAGACCAGGAGTTCAGATGGGACAGAGTAAGTTTTATTTATTCAACCAACTTCCAAGAAACTAGTAAGAGAAAAGTGTCTGGAAGAAAGGTCTGGGCCAAAGTATAAATCTGAGAGTTATTAACCAATAGATTGGATGGAATTATCAATAAGCTGAGTATAGATAAGAAAATAGGTTCTTACGCCTAGTCCAACATTACATAGACCAAGAGGAGAATGCTGAGAGATTGGAAAGGATCAGTCAGTAATCCAAGGAAGAAAACCAGGAGTTTATTGACTTTCAAAACTAAGTGGAAGGGGGGGAGATTCCATTAAGGAAGACAGACCATCTGTGTTAAATCCATCTGAAAGGTCAAATAAGATGATGGAATTGACTATTGGATTCACCAAAATGGAGGTCATACTCTTTAAAAAGAGTATTATCTTTGGATCAATTAGAGCAAAAGCCTGATGTGATAGACGTAAGAGAGAATGGGAGAAATAATTGAAGACAATGATTTTATACAACTCCTTCAGTGAGGTTTTTTTGTTGCTGTTGTTGTTTGTTTGTTTGTTTTTTAGTTGTAGTCAGAC